ACACACAGACACACAGACACAGACACAGACAGACAGACAGACACACATAATCTGTGTGACTCAATGCTGGGCTGCCTGGGGCCCTAAGCCCTTGTTCCATTAGATACTGCTGTTTCTTCCTGGTGACCATGTAATGAAGAGTGTGGTGAGGAGCTGGCTTCCACCCTCTCTGGCTGACAGGATAAAGGGGACAGTGTGGGACTAGAGAACTTCCTTTCTATGCCAGAATATCACAGGCTTTTTCTACCCTGACTGGGTAGCACAGAGAGCCTTAGACTGAAGGGGAGGTACTAAGCCCCAGTTCTTGTTCCACACACCCCACCTCCTGGCCTTGAATGAGTTGCCCTCTAGTCACCTGTACTTGTCAACAACTGTAGAAATCACCCTTAGAATGAGGTTCTTTGCAGCTCTGGGCACCCAGGATGCCTCTGTCATATGTCCTCCCACCTCTTACATACTTTTATCACAGTCATATTGAAAATTTGAGGGGTAGTAGGTATGAGCTCCACTTGCAAGATGGGGAAACAGGCTCAGAGAGGCACAATGATTGGTCTGGAGTTATGTACCAGGTGACTTTGTTCCAATCACTGATGTTCTCCAGCACAGAACACAGTAGCTGGTACATAGCAGATGCTCAATGAGACCTGTGTAGCAAATGAATGAAATGATGGTGTGGGATTTAGACCCTGGCTGGGTGTCCGCAAAACTTTTGTTCTTTCTAATGCTTAATACTATCCCCAGTTAGACCAACAGAAAGGTCTGGATTATATTTTAGAAGGGCATGTAAGTGTGTAGGATACCAGTGGTCTTCTGGTAAGAAGGAGGAAGGAGTGATGAACAATGGGACCATGGGGAGACGGGGCCACACTCAGCGTGAGCCAAGTTCAGGAGCTGAGAGGTGAACACAACAGCTGCACTGCGGGGAGCCTTCTGGGCCCTGCAGTAATTGCAGAGCAAATGTTAGTATTGATTGTAGTAAAACTCCTCCAGAGGGTGGCCTGTGCCAGGGTGATTACCTTCACAGGGTCTCTGAACTTCAGAGGTCTCTCGTGGGCAAAATAGTTTAGGAGTGCACACCCCAAAACATGCACATGGTTGTAAATCGAACTTGTGTGTTCTTGTTAACCCATGTTAAATGCAAGGAAAGTATCCTGCTTGAGTTGTAGATTAAAGACGGTAACTAGTAGAGCCAGGCGTGGTGGCACATTACCTTTAATCCCAGAGGCAGAGGCAGGCAAATCTCTGTGAGTTCAAGGTCAGCCTGGTCTACATAGCAAGTTCCAGGCCAGCTGGGGCTACAGGGAGATCTTGTCTCAAAAAGACCTCCCCCCAAAATGGTGACTAGTAACAGTGCCTTCCTCTGCCCCAGTGCTTTGCCTCAGCCCCCCTCCTTCCCTGTCACCAAATCCAATTCTGTCTGCACCCACCTAAGGCTGGCATAGACCCTGAACTGTAGTCAGTCAGGAGCTCTAGCGTACCAGCCCCTGGGCACCCAGAACCAAGTCTACCCCTCACCTCCTTGGAGAACTGTGGCAGGGGGTCTGGAAGCCAGTCTGGGCCCAGGGCCTTGGCAAGTGACCTTGACTGTGTCTGGTTCCTTTCTGGTCTCAGTTCTAGCCTGCAGTGAGTCTTGTAGTCTTCATCAACTTCTTAATGGGGACATGCTGAGACCTATTCAGAGGCCTGGGGTATGGTGAACGGGACTGGGCACACCTGGAGCACCATCGAGGTGGCAACAGCTGGTTGCACAGGCTTTCAGGTCAGCTGGGCCAACTTCCCCTGACAGCCTTGTCCCTACAGCTGCTGTTCCCCAGTTGCTGTTCCTCAGCTGCTTCCATGGTGCTTTCCTTGAGGTGGGCTGCAGGTGCTCTATTCAGTGACTCACCCAACTCTTACTCCAACCTCTGCAAGTAGGAATGATTTTATCCCCATTTTCCAAATGAGACAACTGAGGCCCAGTTAGAAAGTCACCAGGGGCCATAAGGTTTGGAGGCAGCTTTGGGGCCAGACAGTGCACTGCCACCCCTACTTCTCTGATTACAACTCATTGACATTACCCCAAGGACTGAGATGTTTCCCAGGTGTCCTGTGCTGCTGCTCTTATTACTATGTGCATTGCAGATGAGCCCTCCCCACTCCCCATGGGACTCTGTCTACAGAAACCCACTGCAAGCCCAAGTATATGAGGTTGAAAGTACATAGAGCACATCTGGCTTGTGGCCTGTCCCAGCTCAGTGGCAGCCCACTGCAGATGGCAGGTTGTTTCCCTTGTGGTCCCAGCTGCTGGGGAGCTGTCAGAGGGACTGCCTTACCTATATACTAGCCTCAGAAAACAGCAAAATCGATCACTCAAAGAACGGTTTCTGCTGAACGTGTGTCACTTTCACACTGACCATCACAAAGTCAAAAAGTCCTAAGTTGGCCCATCTTACTATAGGGCCATCTGTGTATGACTAGCCTGCTGTCATGTGGATCTGGAGTGTCCCCAAAGTTCATGTATTAAAGGCTTGGTCCCCAGCTTGGCACTGATGAGAAACGGAGAGACCTGGAAGAGGTGGGTTCCAGTTAGAGGCTTCATGTCTTTGCAGGCATGCTTCTGAAGGGCTAATGGGACCTTGTTTCCTCCCTCTTTCTCTTCCTTCCTAGCCATGAGGTGAACAGTTTTGCTCCATCAGTGTCTCCCACCCCAGTGTACTGCCACAGCCCAAAGCAACCAGACCAGATGATCATAGCTGATACCTCCAAAATCAATGATTTCTCTTGATAAGTTGATTATTTCAGGTGTTTGTTGGGGTAACAGAAAGATGACTATACCATCTCCCAAATGGAGGGTACAGTCTCCACTCATCCCACCTTTGAGGACTCATTCCAGCTCAGGTGACAGATGCCCGACACCAGCAAGAGCAATCTCTAGAGGGTTCCAGCCCCAGTTGTCAGCCCCCACGCCCTGCCCCACTTTGCCAGTCTTCATAGAGCTGTGACATCCCCTCTGCATCCTCTGGGCCCAAATTCCTGCCCACAGAATTCATGACTGACAAAATAGCTGTTTTATGACACTTCAGTAGCCTATTCCGCTGTGATAGGTCAGTGATCATTCTTGCCACATACACTGTCCTTCTGTCTCCTACCACTGGCTTCCATGCAATGTCCTATGTACCTCACTGGCCTCTTCTGGAACCCCTGTTCTGGTGAGGATCTCTATCTCTGCTGTCAGCAATCCTACCCCATCATCAATGGAGATGTGGCATTCTGGGCACAGATAACAGGGACTCACAGTTCCACTGTCTGGGAAGGCTCACTTCCTTGTGGGCTGCACAGCTGTTCGGGAGACGTACTCCCTTGTGGGATGTGCAGCCATTAGGCCATGCTTTGCAAGCTCCTGCCTGGCTGATCCGGCATTCTTGATGATCTAGGTGCAAATGTCAGTTCTGGGAGCCTCTCTTGGCTGTGTGGCCTTGGGCAACCTGTTTAACCTTTCTGAGCCCCCAGTTACTTCATTTGCTAAATGGGGCTCATTATATTAGCCTTGGAGAATGTCTGGGAACCTGATATCATACTTGCCCTTTCAAAAGTGCTACTTCTGGACTGGAGGGATGGCTCAGCTGTTAAGAGCACTTGCTGCTCTTCCAAAGAAACTGAGTTTGGTTCCTAGCACTCATGTTGCTCAGCTCACAACAACTTCTTGTAATGCCAGCTCCAGGGGACCTGATCCCCTCTTCTGGCCTCCACAGACCCTCCACTCATGAGGCATACACACACACACACACACACACACACACACACACAAATGAAAATAAAGTAAAAATAAATCTTTAAAAAACAAGTGCAACTTCTGAAAGCCAGAGTTAAGAATAACTGCAACTGATGGAATCAAAATTACAATGACAGAATTCCCTTCTGAAATGCAAGCTCCTGACCTCAGCCTGACTTAACCTGACAAGACATTGTAGTGGTCTCAGGTTTGCAGGTGGGGAGTATGAGGTTCAGAGAGGTTAGTAATTTGCCCAAGTACACACAGCTAAACACTGAGGAACCCAGGCTCCAAGTGGAGGTTGTTCACCTTCCTCCAATCCATCATCAGGGCAGACTGTGTGCTGTGCTAAGTACCAGGTCTCATCTCTGCTGCTGATCATCAAGACCCTCTCTTGCCCTTCATTCCCACCAAGGACAGCAAATCTGGCTTTCCCAGGTTGTTTCTTGGAGCTTTTGGGATCCGTTGAGCTCCATGGTTGCCAGCCTGATGCAGGGGGGCCTGGTGTGTGTGGGGGTGGGGTGGGGGTGGGGGGCTGTGGCTGTGGCTGTGGCTGGCCTCACTTATAGAATACAAAACCTGCAGACACAGATCCAGCCTTTCCCGAGCATCTTCAGACAAGCCAGTCCGTTCCTGGGCATCTCTGGGCCTCAAGTGCCAGAAGCAAGCCTCAGGCCTCCCTGTAGGACGGGAGCCAGGCACCAAGACAAGGTCCTGGCTCCCTTTTGCCAGTCACAGGTGTGAGGTCGGAGAACACTGATTTATTCTATCAGCCAGGCATTTATTTCCTTATTGATCATTTTATGACCACATTCATTTATTCAGTTAGTCACTTATTCACATTCCTCCAGTATATTATCTACTCATTCATTCCTTTTCCCACTGACCATTCATTCATTCGCCCATGCATTTATTCATTCATGAATCCATGAGTGCAGAGCTGGAGTGGGGAGAAGGCTGGCACTGGCGGGTTTGCGGGTGCAAAGGGCCTCCGCCTCCGTGCGCCCCTCCCGCGAGCCTCCCGCGCCG